TATATAGGTACTTAAAATTATTTGATCATTTTATTTTTATTACAAACTTATCCTTACAATGTCATCTTCTAAAAAAATACTCAATGATAAACTATATTACATTTGTGAAATAATGAAATTACTTCTGCATATGAAATATATTCCAAAACTGGAATAAACATGTCAACTATCTATTACAATCTCAAAAAATTGAATTCAAATGGCAATAATTCAAGAAAATCAGGTAGTGATCCTTCTAAAAAGATTATAGCACATGAATCAAGAGCAATTGGTCAATATTTATGTCGTAATCCAAGACTTTCCTAAAGAATTTTGGCAATTAAATTATCAAATATTAATATCAAAGTATCATATTCAACAATTTAAAAAAGCTCGTATTATTTGAGCAAAAAAATATCTTGATGATAATTGGAAAAAAACATTATTTTTTAATGAAACAGCATTTCAACTATTAAGAAATACAATTACTCAATAGTATAAAGGTGCAAGACCAATTAGAAGAATATCTAAAGATTGTACTAAAATCTTTGTATGGGAGGATTTTGTATAAAAGGAAAAACTTCTCTTTTTTGTTTTAAAGAAATTATGAATGCAAAATTTTATATCAATATTTTGCAAAATTATAAACAAGAATTTAATAGACTGCTTGAGAACAGTTGGCACTTTTAACAAGATAATGATCCCAAGTATACAAGTAAAATTGTTAAAATATTTTTAAATGAAAATTTTTTTGAAATTATTTATTGGCCTTCTAATAGTCCAAATTTAAATCCCATTGAAAATCTTTGAGCTATCACTTAAAAAAATATAGAAATGAGATTACCTCAAAATATTTTAAAATTAGAACAATTTATGATAGAAGAATGGGATAAAATTCTAAATAAGATTTTAAATAATTTTATAGATTCAATGAAAGAGAGATGTGAATTAATAATTGAAAATAATGGCGAAAGAATTAATTATTAATTATATATTAATAAAATTTCTAGATTTTTAGCTTTATTTTGATATATTTTTTATTAATTTCTATGCAGTGGTTTTTGAGTAATAAATAAATAAAAAATTCCAAAAAATTTTGCACTATACTGTATATCATATTTTTTATGTGATTTTTGTCAACTTATTTATATAAATTATTTTTAAATATTAAATATTGAAATTCATCATTTTAATCAATTAATTATTACTCAATAGTTTAATTTTTTTTTTCTATTATACTATTTTAATATTTTTTGCATATTTTGCTTTAAAATAAAAGATTTTTTCACTCCAGCTCAACCATAATAGCCTTGTTCATATAGTATATTATGGATAATCTTATCATTAACTAAAATAATCATGCCAATATTGAATTTTTTAAGTAATTTATTCAATGGCTTGTTAACAATCATCCTTAACAATTTTAATTACACATCTGATTGTACAAACACTCATTATTATTGATTTACCTAACCATGAAGCAACCTTAACTTTTTCAAACTTCTTATATTGATTAATCACACTTATAACTGTTGTTCTGATTGGTTTAAAATCTCTGCAATCTTTTTATGTAAAAAGCCATCTTTAAAAAGATCAACTATTTCATCACATTCAAAATCTGTTAACTGAAAACCTTTCTTTTATTTTTGAATGTTTGACATTATGGTAAGAAAAATTTTTTAATTGCATTTGAAAGTTACGGTTTTCTAAAAGTATATATTTACAACCAAATATGTTGCACAATTGAATTTTAACTTTGGGCGAAAATTTCTAAAATATCACCGTTGATCATTTCGGCCGCAGACTTTTGTCCACCCAGTGTACATCATTAATGTCGCTTTGATAATTAGCGTTACATAATATGTACGATATAAATAGATAGCATATATAGCAACACGATATACAGTAAATAATGAAATGGTTTTAAATTCCCAAATGGAGATTAATAGAAATGTTAATTAAAATCATACCACCCACATATTTGCTCGTTTTTGTTTGAATGTTGACATAATAATGGGCGGCTTTAAGTGTGATAATACGTACGTATAATGAATGAGTCATGAAATTTTCATTATTAATATTAAATTTATGACTAATCTGTTTCAAGAAAACAACTCGAGCCTTACCACATAAAATTAAAAGCCCCTGCGTTATCTTTCGGATCTCCAAAATATTTCTACTCACGCGATATCGGTTCAAGAAATCGACGAGTGAACTTGTTCCATTCACCGATGCAAAATTTGGCTAGCGTGTACCATAAAATGATAAATGCGCAAGATCTTCTGTTTATATGAATCCACAGTGTAATAATCAACAATAGAAAGATATTCACATTGATTATCTATATCGCAATCTAAATTCAATAGTATAACGTACACACGTATGAGTGTATGTGAGTCGACAGCAAAAGGCAACGCCCGATTTCTTACGTAAATCTTGGAAAATCGGGCGTTACATTTTGCTGTCGATAATAAAAAATAGTTTCTCTTGCGTGGGCGTTGCTTGCTAAAAACTCATATAATGGGCAGAAGATAGCTTCTTTTATCTGTCTGCTTCCAGTTAGCATGCTGGGAACCTCGGGAACGTATGGTCACGGGAGTTGTCGAGTAAATAGGGTGTATGCGTGCCATGAAGTAAAAAGTTTTCAATGTATGCGTTACCAAAAAAAATAAAATAAAATTTTACAAAAAATACAATTCTTTAAAAAATAATTATTTTAACGAAAGCGTATGCTGGAAGATTTTTTTTAAGGAATTCAAATGACATTTGAAAGGTTTAGTACATCAAAAAAAAATCTCCCTGTTAATAAATAATTTCAGGTAAAATGCAAATGTTGTTGCTGCTGTTATTATTTTGATATATCGTTTAGTAAATATTTTTTGTAAATTCATACTTGTACGCTGTGAAACAACTGTATGTCGCATATTTGTATTTATTTATTTTTTAAAAATTTTTTATTATCATTAAAATTACAAGAATCGACGAATTAGTACGCATTTCTTAAAAGACCGTGTAACCATTTTTTTTTTTTTTTATGATTTAAGCGCGAAATAGATGCAACCGGTTACAACGTCAAATTAATATGACCAATTGTAGATGTTTGCGCGACTTCGAGTTGCCTTGTTTTTGAAGATGGGTCAACATAAACCTGCTAGCATATACACCAAATCAGAGGGTTGCCAAGAAAATCTTGATCACACAACTGCATATTGTGCTGGTGAACACAATGTGGCTTTTTAATTCTTCTCGTAAAGCAAATTGTTTAAATTGTTTACAAGTGCGTGTCAGGACGAATTTTACTCTCACACATTTTCTCCGCTATCATTCAGGTAAAAGGCCGTTCTCCAGAATGTCGGAGCAAAAAGAAAATGAGGAGACCGTGACTCCCACGACTTCAGATAAGGCTTCGAAAGAATCGGCTGCAGAGTATGAACAGCATTGTCTATTGTTCCCCACTTATGCTACGAGGCATAGTTTAGATGGTAAGCAAGGATAGTTTTGCGCTCTTCTTATTCCCAACGTCTATTCTTTATCACATATATTTATGACGTTACGAAATAGACAAGGCCGAGTTGACCGATCATTGGAATATTCGAATTCGCGGTTGGGCATTTTCTACACCAAAGACAAGCAGAACTCGCGCTCTATTTCTTGGTAACCAACAAATTTTCCAATGATTTATCTTAAATTCAGATGGGGAATTAATTCTAATGTTTTCTCCGTCGTTGCCAATTTGTTTCAGGACTAACGCAACATTTGGCTGAAATCCAAAAGGCCGATTTCCAATCCCGCGCGTCCTTGTTTTGGGCGAGCAATATCGACCATAAGGAGTTCACTGCCAGGGCCATCGGTGTTACCGATTCCAGAAAGATGACCGCAGACGGTGATCCTACTGAACCATCAGTCGAACAGCTCGCCAATGAACCATCCGCCAAGGAAGCTAAAGAGGATGTAAAAAATATAATTGATAATGCTCAAAAGAAGCTTATAATAAATCATCCAGAAGATGAAACCCCTAGCATAAGGATTATGCCGGTTGAAGGAAATTTCTCGGGACATCTCCCGATTCCACATAATACCGTTAAAAAATGGTTGAAGGAAGACGACAAGACACCGTTTTTCAGCACAATTATTAATACCCTAACCAATAAGAATACGAAGAAGATCAGGATGCTCAAGATTGCAGCTTTTCAGGATACGTCACGTGAGTCAAAATGTTATGCTTCGTTGATGTTTCAACTGGCGAGTTTTCGAACTTTCCCGAATTCCTCGTGTAGCACATCCGACTTATGGTATCGTGGACTTGGTGGAACCCGAAGGTTTTTCGGTAATCTCGGTAGGTGGAAGTATGCTGCATGTTCTTCACGATTCACTTTTTTTTTGTTTTTTTTTTGTGAACGCGCGTATCTCATGTCTTTCTCAAAATTAGGATATCGATGACACAATCAAGGATACCGAAATACTTAGTAGCACAAGGACCATACTTTCAAACACCTTTTTACAACCCTTCCGAGCAGTAAGATCCTCTCATTATTAAGATAAAAATGGATATGCACATTGCGCTGGCTGTTTATAACTGATGATTGATTTTTCATTGTCATTTTTCTCGATCCTCCCGACAGGTTGATGGAATGTCGGAACTTTATCACGAATGGGTAGGTCGAATAAAAGAGAGATAGATGCACAACCGTTCACATCGTAGCACCACCATCCTAACATCTCCACCCTATTTCAAGTATGATAAAGAGGTGTCTTTCCACTATGTATCCAATTCGCCGTGGCAATTATACCCCATGCTTCGATCTTTCTTCAACACCTACAATTTCCCACCTGGTTCGGCTCATCTTAAATTCTACGATGGAATAGTTAAAAGCGTGAAGGAGCAGAAAGAACACCCAATGGCTAGCAAATTAATGTATATTCACCAGTTACTCAAGGTACATCTTGGTTTGGAGGGGTGATGTGCGCATTAGGGTTCACGTTAAATTTGAACCGACTTTTATAATTGTCTGAAAATAGGACTTTCCCTTGCGCAAATTTATCCTTGTTGGCGACACCGGTGAACTTGATCCTGAGATGTAAGTCCAAATTGTTCGTAGTAGATCGACCCGAATTTCTCAATAATGAAGCTACCTCAATGCTTAAACGTAGTTATACAAAGATCGCTCGGGAGAACGAGGGTCGAATCCTTAGAATCTTTGTCAGAGATGTCTCTACACCTCATTTGGAGGGCCTTCCGGCTCAACCCGCGCACCATTCATACGCGCAAACGTTCACATCAACATGCAAACACCTTCGTAACCATTACGTGTCTTCCGAAGAAGTAGAGGGATCCCCGAAAAATGCCACCGCCACCGTCGAAGGAACGGCATCTTCGGAAAGCGTCACCGCTGCTGTCGCAGAAACAAGTAGGGAGGTGGTCTCGGAAGCCAAGGATTCCGCCGAAGAACAACAAAAGAAGGATTCTTTAACCTCACGTCTCATGAATCATTTTCACTCTGAAATATCATATCTTCACACCTCATTAGGCTTACAAGAACAACCAGCCGAAAGGGAGGTATTGAAGACACCGTTAGAACAATTTCATTTTAGAATAGAATCTTTGGGTCAAGGATTACCGGAAGGGTTGTTCACCACCTTTACGGATCCTAACGAATTGAGAAATGATCCTGTGATCAGGAAAGCTTTGAAATATAGTTGAGAGATCAATATTAGAAGAGTAATTATGATTTTATTGACTAGTCAGCTTCCGCGGAGGGCCGAATCAAGAAGGAAGCGTTAATCAAGAGTTTTGCATCTATAATTTTTTTTGTACTATATATTGTCGGCTATTGTTTATTCGCCTTGTTATTTATTAGTTTGTTTGCCTCATGTGAATATGTAGTTAGTTCTCAATAAAAAATTCGGAATTTTCATAATTGATATTGTCTCGCAATGGCGACGGGTTATGCTTATCAAATATACGTATTTCCACAACTCGACGAATTTTGATATGCACAATTGGACCATACTCTCTCATCACACTTTATTAACAGAGGATTGATCTGCCGTTCTTATTGTGACGGAATTCAAGTTTGACAAGGAATTTTCTTTAATCAATAAAACCTCTCTTTCTTTTTTCTTTTCCCAAGCTCGCGTGACACGAATTTTGCGTGACCCGAGTATCACGCCCGAGTTTCGCGTGACACAAGTAGTTTGCGTAACCCGAATCTCAAATTTCCATAACAATAATAGAACGTAAAAATACACCGGTTTATTGATTTTATTTTGAGTTTATGATTATATTGTTTTTTTAAAAAAAAAAAAACTTTTTTTTTATTGCGTAATGCGTTTGAAAATATTTTTAAACCCAAATTAAAAACGTTAAGATCAACATTCATTTGTAATCTTACGGTCATCAAATTTCGCCGGTCGTCACAGTGCATTCTATACTGCATTACGCTGTGAGGAAAGGTGTGCTCTCGGGCGCAAATTAGTACATGTCAATGAATATGCACACATACGAAATTTTCTCATCAGATGATTGACTAATAAAGGAAAAGACGTTTATCACATGCACTTTGTAGGATCCCTTGCCAATGCATTTCGTGATCACGCACAGGGGTAAATTTGACGCCGTGATACCCGATTTTTCTGGAAAAAAAAAAAAAAAAAGGGAAGGCTGAGTTTTTTGCACGCAACGTGAGTACGCACATTCTGAGCTGCCGATTTCCATACCTGGTATAATGAGTCCATAAGCCAGCTTTGATTAGTAATATCCCCCTATAAGGCGAATCCATTAGCGCGCGCCTTTTCTGGTATGCGGAAAGTTGCCGCAGTCGTATGTTCAAACGTATTGTGTGACGTCATTGATCGGATCCTTCTTCTAAACTATTTACGAGTGCACCCGAGTAAACAAGAATTCGCGTGCGACCTTGAGTAAAAAGAAAAGAAGAAGGTCTCTTTTTTAGACAACATCCCAAAAGCGCTTGTCACACAGAACGTGAGAGCATATCAAGGCAAAGAATTACACGAGGCACCTCGTCACAATTGCTGACAAGAGAATTGCATTTTTTCAATAAAGTCTATTTTCTTTTATGGTCACCGAGGAACCAATTATCTTTCAGCAACAACAACTCAATTCAATTGAATAGCAAACACGAACAAATTCTAGAATCGGATGAAACGTTTAGGGAGTGAAGATAATTAAGCGAAAATGAGGGTCCACAATCGGAAAGTGAAAATATCGTACCATTTTTTTGTTTTACCCGTTTGGAAATAGTTGTTGGAGTATGATTAGTTCGCAAGGATGGATTCTCGTACAATAGAGATCCCACCTTTAAAGCACAGACAATTGGATATGTGCGTATAATTATAACGTCATGTGTGTTTTTTTCTTTTCCCTTTTCTAATTTTACCTGCTTGAATGGGTGGCGGAGAACATCAGTTCAAAAAGAAGATTTCAAAGATTGTTCTCGTTCACAATACTGTAAGCTCGCACAAACGAGGTTGCACATGTCACACCACCCAGTCTTCGGTGCCTCACAAAAGCCACACCCATTTTGCAAAAAAAAACTGTAAAACCCTCAAACACTTAATCACCCCCCTTGAAACGCATTAAGAAATTTCCGAACCAAAAAATTTGGATAAATAAAAATTGTGAATTGAACACAGATTAAATTAATGTTGATTGTTGGGACGGGAAACCTCAACATCACATTACCTTTACCCTTGTACAATACGTGCATCCCGGACCAATTTTAACGCAGTACATGCAGCGACTCATTCATTGTCTAACAAGAAACATCAAACGACAAAACAAACACCCTTCCCGTCTCGTTGTGTCGAGCGAGCGTACGTCCGTCCGTCCGTCCAAACACCAACTTCGTGCGAGATTTACCAGATCTACCATGTGTTTTTTTTCGGTCCATTGGTTTACGATTACCAACATAAAGTCGAGACTACCAGAGGGGTTCATTGTACATTCATTGTACATGCATGCCCTTTTTTTTTTTCCTTGTCATAACGTACGTGAACTCGGTTTTTTTTTTTTTTTTTTTTTTAAAAAAAAAAATCAATTACTGTATATTGCTTTTTTTGTAAAACGTGTGAAGTTTGTTGACATCAACATCATCGTCATCTGCAAAGGATACGTAACATCAAAGAAATTCCCATACGTAAAATTGAGGGAAAACTTTGGAGTGAGTTAAAATGCATCTGATAAAGCAATGTGGTGGCGGTTGATCCATCGATCCGTCCCCGAATCGAGAATGCGAATCGTTCTGGATCTTGGTTCAAATCATTCTGCGCATTAATAACTGCCAATTATAGCGAGAGCACCGAATGCGTGCGTTCCCAATTACGTAACTTACGGTGGAACCGAATTATGAACATTGGGTATACTTGACTATACGCTATTTAGTCACTTTCCATTTCAAAAAAGAGAGTTTCACGTAAAGTTTACGATCGAACAACCTGTTCGACACAAAAGATTACTGCGAGAAACGAGAGGAAAATAAAATAAAATGAATCTCTTTTTCTTTTTTTTTTTTTTTTTTTTTATAAAGTCTAGAGTTTTAGGCGCTTTTTTATTTGTCATTTTTGAAAAACAAAAAAAAAAAACCAAAAAAAAGTGTATAATACAAGAGTGGTGAATCCGATTCGTTCCTTTTTTTTTTTTTTTTTTTTTTTTTTTGAAAAAGAAAAAAAAAAAAATGTAGTAATAATAATTCGTTGCTGATGCTGCGTGCGAAAAAGATGTTATCAAAGAAAAAAAAAATAAGAAAGAAAGAAAGAAAGAAAAAAAAAAAGAGCTACGGGGAGAGAAAGTCTGGGTGTGTGTTTCTCTCTCTCTCTCTTTTTTTTTTTTTTAGAAAAAAAAAAAAAAAAGTATATTTAACAAATTTGTACAATAATAAATTCATCCAAGAGTGTACGCGAGGACCTCCTTGTTGGCGACTAGCGCCAAATAAAGAAATCGAAAACTGATGAATTTATAAAATTTCAATAAAAATGTAATGATAATATGATAAAATAATAAATAAATCCTTGACATATCGTACACCCACGTCTCCATTCGTTCCCTCCCTTTATACCAACAAGAAAAAAAAGAAGATAATTATACGTTTGATGAAAAAGATATTTGCATGAACAGACAATGTGTATATTATATAATGTGTGAACACATAAATAAAGTACAATATTTTACTCTAAAATGTTCGATCTTCTATTGAAGAATTGTATACAACTTAATAGTTTGAGTTGCTGAAATGATTTGCAGAGCCACCAAAATATCCAAATGCGAAGATATCGGCAATCGCCGGGTTATTTACCGAAGAGTCCCGGAATTCCGAAAATCCAGCACTGGAGCTAGAGTCACTGGTGGTCTTTAGGGATGAGGCGTCGATGGTGTTTTGTGAATAGGCGGATGGATTGTCGTAGATGGATGTGGTGGTATCATGTTCATTAAGGAATAGAATTGAGGGATCGATGGTTGGTTCGTGAAATGTGAATGGTTGAAACAAAATATTTTCTCGGTGATTAATCGTTTCAGGTTCAGGCTGCGTGGGTACCACCTTCCATCCTATCTCGAAATGCTGTTGTTGTTGAGGGGTGATTGGTGTGAGCAGTTCCGTGGTGGGAACATCTGTGAAATCCAGGTTCAGGAGGGGAATTTCGTTTGCCGGTTCCAAGGGCGGAGTCGTGGTTACGGCGGGAACCATTGATTGAAATTCCGTGGCGGTCGTCTGACTTTCCAAATCAATTCTCCTCGGAACCATGGTTAATCGATTTTGCCCTCGGGTCGACGGTCTAACTGGACCCACTGAATCTTCTTGAGGATTCATCACCGGGCTCTTGGAGGTGTCGTTGGAAGCGGCGGGTTGCTTTCGCCCTGGCCTCTTCTTTCCCTTGTTTTTGTTTGGACGGTAGACGTAGTTTGGGTAGGCCTTCATGTGTTCCAATTTTGTTTGATCGGCGAGCCTCTCCCATACCAAGCGAGTTTCGTTTGACTCGCTCTTCCATAGGTCGGCGATGTATCGGGATATCTGTGCGTTCGTGAGGTGACGGTTGGTGGCCAGAATAGCCGGTTGTTTCTCCCTTCTGTACAAGATGAAGGCATTGGGGGGGCGCGGGGGACGCTTCTCAGTTTGCTGCCCCTTCTGGCATCCCGACGATTTTCCGTTCTCTTCGCCCCCGGCTGCGGCAGCTCCAGCAGCTATGGAAGTCTCCTGTGAGTCACTCTGAGACTTGTAGTAGGGCTCCGGTTGATCGGAAAAGGAGTTAACATCATAATGATTCATTATGAAGTCGTTGCCTTTTGATCCAGGTCCTTTGACGGGGAACATCAAGAGGCCGCAATATCGGTTTCTTGCTTCAATGTCCATTCTTTTTGTCTTTTTGTTTTCTTGAGAAGAGGAAGAGAAGGAAGGAAGGAAGAAGATTAGTTGATAGTTCGGATGGCATTGGAGGATGGGTTTTCAATTCACCAAAGAAAAAAGAAAAAAAAACCATGAATAATTTTGTACTTACAATATAGTAGATCGCAGAAAAATGAGAGAAAGTGAGATATATAATCGTTTATGGATTGTTTTAAATATCGCTTACTCAAAGAGTTCGAGAAGGAAGAAAAGTTTTAGAAAGTTTTTGGAAATGAAAGCGATATTTCTTGGACAATTAAAGGTTTCAAAGGAGAATCGATTTGTTTTTTCGTTTTTATTTTTTTCCAAAAAAAAACTCTTGAGATTTTTTGTTGTCTGAGAAAAGTGGCGAGTGCGTGGTGGGTTGTTTAAATATACGTTTGGTGTGTTACAAGTGGAAGGTTGTACAATTGTGTGCATAAATTTTTAAAATACTCATTGAATGTCGATATCATATACTGTATATATACTGTATGCATATATATTTTTTTTCTCTAAGAAAAAAAAAAAAAATTTGACGCACAAAGTTTTAGAGTGACGCCATTCGCTGTAACAAAGAATCATGTTTTAACCTTGATTCTCAAGAATCGTTTTGATCTAGGAGGGGGGGTGGATTATTGAAATGAAATAATAATAGTTGGGTGCCTTCAGGTTAGGAAAATACAAACGATATTGTTATCGGGGATACGCATTTCAAATTGTTGTATTACGTAGTTGTTAACATAATGTACAATGCTCATTTTGATTGGTGACATTGAAAGAAAGACAACAATAACCATATGGGGGTATTATTCAAGGTGGATTAAATAAATTAAATTAACAGATAATAGAGGGTGCGACTTGGTTTGTTTGTTCACTCGTCATTTGATAAAGGATTTCTGTCAGAATCCGCCGCCGCATCACCCCCCGGAGGATTCACCACCGATAGTGAACGGGTGTTGTGTGTTTGAGAAGCTAGGGATGCAATTGTTCTCACCACACGGACGATTTTTGGCGTCGGTGTTTGAATTTAATGAAACAATCGAGATTGAAAAAGCGCGCTAGCTAATATTTGATAACACTAATGCATGTGCCGGATCCCTTTTCGATATTCAAATTATATTACAATGGAACTGCGAATGCAGACTGCGGCAAAATAAAATTTCTGTGTCGGATCCTAAGATCCCCATCTAAACACAATCTACGTGAACAAATTGCTGAGGATAAAAAAAAAAAAAAAAAAAAATTTTTTTTTTTCTTTTTTTTTCTTTTTTATTTTTTGAACACGCATAACGGAGTGACCATGCTGGTACAAATCTATTGACGGATTGCATCATGACCACAGAAAGCTTTGTGCCCGTAACATGTATGCCTCTGGGAGAACGCATCGCACGCACACCTGATAATCGGGTGGGAGGAGATTAAGCGAAACATTTCCAAATTTCTACAAGGGTAGGCGTAAATTTAATTAAACTTGCATCACAGTTTGGATGCCGTCCAACTATCCTCATCATCTATCTACAACTTCCAAAAAAAGGTCACTATGTATACATTTTCGCTTTTTAAGGTTATACCCTTTGGCTGTACGATTAATTACGTGCTTGTTCGCTCGTCAAGCTTTGGTCCAATCTAGTTCAAGCAATTAATAATCGTGGCATAAGGAGGAAAAAAAGATCGTCCCGCGATAAACCGCACGAAGACTGATTGAGAACGACCAAGTACAATTATTATTATTATTATTTATTTATTTATTTATTTGTTCATTTATTTATTCATTTATTTATTCATTTATTATCATTACATTATTTACTTGTTGTCAATAATCATATAATTATATTTTTGTTGCCATGACTTATTTTATTTTTATGGAGTAGGTCAAATTACACTTGCTCACTTGGGGAATGTTAGAGGTCAGAAGCGCAGGGGTCGGGAACCAATTGGACGCCTCAGGCTTCAGTTAATTAAACTTAAAATATCAATTATCGCGGGTATCCGCTCATTCTCGATCCATTGATTTCAAAATGGATCAATTCAGCTTAGTCGATTTTTTTTTTTTTTTTTTTTTTTTTTTTTTATGGTATTTTATTTCATTTCATTTCATTTTTATGGTTCTTTTGATATCTTACGTTTCTTTATACGCGCTGCAGTGTCGTGTGGCAAAATTTGTGGCTCAACCAAGAAAAATCCAATAATGACAAATCTAGAATCATCTTCAATCAGGGCGCCTGCATTGTGCGATTGTGTTACACTTCTAGCATCCGCTACATCCGCTTCTAGAAATTCTCTTGGCATAAAAATAAGATGGAACCAGTTTTTTTTGGATCGCCGCAAGACGCCACGCCGCATAAACCGATTCCGACGGTAAAATTTGTGGATGAATTCCAGAGGTCGCACAAAAACCTTGGCAAGGAATCACGGCATGAACCCTTGGCTAGGTCGAGAAACGGATTTTTTTTTTTTCTTCAAAAAATTCTTGTCAAGACTTTAAATTCACCAACGTCCTCCTCTAGTTGTGCCAACGAATAAGCAAAACCAACCATTCGTCTAGAGCATATAAAAAATGGTCACATCCAAATGCTAATAATGACTCATTCAATACACCCATACACAATCATACACAATGACACCAGCCAAAAACAATGACACACATTAAAGCCACAACCAGTGTCATCTTGCCACAATGAAGTCATTTATGCGCTGAGACAATGGACAATGGAAGATTCCACTCGTTCCACGGATGACCTGAGTGGCAGATGACGAGAGGCTTGGTTATTTTTAACTTGGCGCTAGCCCAAGTAAGGAAATATTACAGAATAAAAGGTAGAATTAATTGCCGCAAACGCAGATACGCACCCCTGCATTTCACTGTGAGATGACATTCACGGTACGTACCCGTGATAATACCTGCATACAATGCACTATCTTGCTAAATTAGTATGTTTCTATTTTTTAAAAAAAAAAAAGAAGAAGTGCGATTATTTGTGGTGGTCCTACCTACTGTACGTGCATCATAAAAAACCAGTATTTGAAATTGGTTAGATGTGATTTGCGGTTGTGATGCCGAGTTGTCATTATATTATGTTGTGTCACCCGGTCGGGACTCGAAAAAAAAAAAAATGAAACCCGTACCATCTCAATTATATTAAATCGTCTGTCGATATTGATATAAATAAATTGACCTGGTGACATGTCGTTGCGCTACGCAGTGATATCGATGCAGTTCCATCATAATTCCGCATTCGCACTAGCATACTACAACAACCGGTTTATCATCAGGTTTCGAATATTCTCAACTCGTCAGGATAAAAAGAGTCGCAATAATTTAAATTAGCCCAAAATGGTAAAACAGAACCAAACAAATCGATTCGCTCGCTCTATAGGAAGTCTAGAACCGGAACATTCTTAATGCGTTTCCTACGAAATTCACAGAGTGTGTCATTCGATCATGAGCTGTTTTAGCTACCATAACGACATTCATTGTTTGCTAAATTCACTATAATTTCAAATTAAGATAAATGAAATGCACCCGTGTTTCTAACCTTAAAACCTTCTTTAACATTCTCACTATCAACATCAATTAATTAAAGTTGTCTGTTGAACGTCTTTATTTCAACTACAGTATTTATTTATTTGGTTATTCATTCATTCATTCATTCATTCATTTATTTTATTTTAATTTTTTTTTTTTTCTTTGACCATGTTTATTGTGAACAGGATCCCCTGGGTTTTATTTATTTGTTTATTTCTTTCTTTCCCCTTCCCTCCTTCCTTTCTTCAATTTGTGGAAAGAAAGAACGAAAGAACTCACTCTAATATAATCTACCGGTCAGGCTGCATGCGCCTTGAGGTATAGTGCATGCCATTACCACACCTGCCAACCGGCTTTACGTAATATGCGCACGCTGAAAAAATATTTTGCAAATCAAACAAGGCAGTCCCTGCAGTTAATTAAATCCTTTCCCCCCCAAAAGATTTTATTCTTTCTCGGATTTCCATCTTTGTTAGAGGATGTATGCTAGGAATGGTAACGATAATGGATAAGAAAGACTTGCCATGCAAGAAATCTTTGTCAGACGTGAATGACCCATTCAGCCCTCGCTGAATTGAATTCTCCTAACCTAATCGATGTAACAAATGATTTGCGATGTTCGTGATGTGCGTACGTGCGTGCGTGTACCTAAACTTTACGACATGCAAACAGCGATTCTAAAAGTGCCATGATAAGGAAAGTTTATGCATCCAATTAAACTTTAAATTTTGTGCGCTCATGGAAAAAGAAAGAAAATTTCGGAGAAAATGCTTTGGGGAATGCGCGTCCACAGTACCACAGGAGAACATATCCGGCTACATGGATTACGTTTCCCACTTTTACCGAAACAGTTGCAATTTTTTTTGTTGTCAATGGTAATCCGAAATTTCTTGCTTGTGTCCTTTGTTAAAAATTATTATTTTGAGTTGTGCACAATGAGAAGTGATCCTTTTATCGATCACCAATTCCCTTTCTCCCTTTCCCTTACAGTTGAAATTAAATCGGGTAATCCGAATCACTGATAACGGACATGCATGTGAACTCGGCGCATAATCTACTAAAGGAAGTGGCGGAGCTTGTGGCCCAACTTCCCTCATTTATATGTTACCATATTCATCCATTCATTCATTCATTCCCACCACTCGGTCTACTGTATATCGGTGATCTTAGTGTGAGGCTTTATCAATACGCAGCAAGGGTGATCCGTCATACAGATAACCGGTCTGCGGAAATTCGTGGTTGAAATTTCAACTTGCCGCCGGAAAATTCCTCATTGGGTACCATCCACGGGAATTTTTTGCGAAATTTCTCGGCAACACATTCATGCAATAGGACGTTACATTCATAACTCGTGCTTGGCAAAAGGAAATAATCTCAAATTCACGTTTCGAACCTTTGTGTGTCAGACGTAACTTCACCGTCGTTTTAATAGACAATGGACCAATTGATATTACCGTTTCACGACCATCCTTCGCTAAACTAACGAACCTCCAATGATCCGCGGGATCCACGTGAATGTTTCTAATGTTCCATTGATTATCAGGAACTCGCGGTTTTTGGTTTTTGGTTTTTGGTACCATTTCAAATATGATCACGGTTTCTCGCTCTGATATGTATCGCATACATCTGATGGTTCCGCCCGAGGTGCACCGCTTCATTCGCGCAACGCGCATTATCCATTATTGAAAAGTTAATTATGCATCACGCATAATTATTGCGAGACAAAGAAGAGAATGCGGTTAAGCAATCAATCGATCAGGAAAAAAGGGGGGGATGCCGGGAAAGCATCACCTTCCTCATCATATAAGCATATGAAACATATAAACGAGAAACATCCTGCTCATGAGAACATGGATAGAGGAGCATGCGAAGATAGATTGAATTTCACCACCTACAACCAACAACTAATCCACAAAGAAATTATGGGGTCCAATGAAATAAAATTCGAATATCCCAAGCACGATTCAGAGTACACTTTCTCGACCTCGTCAACATTCGTCAACGAGGACAACGAATCCGGTGAACCCCTGAAGAGCTTCGAGAAAAGGCTATTGCGTAAAATCGATGTTCGCCTGATGCCTATCACGATATTGACATTTTTTGTTGCTTGTTTGGATAGATCGAATATTGGTACGTACGAATGTCTTATCTATGGTGTTTGCGGTTAACTTCTTCTCCAACGTAGGAATCAAAGTTTTTTTTTTTTTTTTTTTTCTTCTTCTCTTTCTTTCTTTCTTTTTTTTTTTTTGTATTCATTTATAACTCGTTAAAGGCAACGCTCGGTTGGGCGGGTTGGAGAAGGATCTAGGTATGCATGTGACCGTCATCTTCTCATGATTTTTTCCTTATTGGAACGTGTGTGATTAATTCCCTTTCTCATATTTGTAGGACTGTCAAGTGGACAATATCAAATCGCCTTGGCTGTATTCTTCATTGGCGAGGTGGTGATGAAGATTCCATCGAATATGGTACGCCACGATGAAAATATATCGTATGTCATTTCCCTCCTTTTCCGACCTTTCCTTACAACCTCACACATAGGTACTCCATAAATTTGCGCCGTCAAAATGGATTCCATTCATAATGATTGTCTGGTCGGCTGTAACCTGTTGCATGGCCGTGATACAGGATTATAAAGATTTGATAGTCACACGTGTGCTCCTGGGGATTACGGAAGCAGGTCTAAATCTAGCAAATTCTGATGTGACGATGATTTATTTGATATCCTAAAGAAGCATTGCCTTTTTTTTGTTTGTTTTTTTTTTTTTTGCTCTAGGGTTGGCACCGGGGATAATATACTTGCTAAGTATGTGGTATAGCCCCAAAGAACTTGCCACTCGATTTGCGGTTTACTATTCGGGCGGAGTTTCGGCCGGTGCCTTTGGGTGATTAGACAACGGGGGAGACTCTTTCGAACCTCATGTTGAGAAAATCCTTGATTCTAATTTGCTCGGTGCTTCTATTTTCCTTTTTAGGGGTTTGCTCGCATATGTGATCAACATAAATCTGCACGGTGTGGCCGGACTCCAAGGCTGGCGATGGCTCTCGATCATCGAAGGTTTTTGTGGTTTAATAATCGCCTCGATTGCATAGTGAGCATTTATCTCATGTGTTTTTTTTTAAAAATGTTTTTCCTCGATACCCTCCCGCAAATTAAAAACTAAACCCGTGATTTAATAAATTTGTAAAGCTTCACGTTGCCCGACTTTCCATCCACGTCGAGATTTCTCACCGACAAAGAGCGTGTCTACCTGATGACCCAACTTGGTGACGATTCGATGACCACAAAGCAACCCGTGTCCACAAAGGAATTTACGAAAAACGGCATTGTCCTCGCGTTCAAGGATTGGAAAATCTATCATACCATGCTTATAAAGACCATCTGCGGGATCACCATAAATTCCATAACATTGTTCCTACCGACATTGCTTTACTCCATGGGCTTCGACATCCTGAAGAGTCAACTCTTGACCGTTCCACCTTATCTAGTTGCAATGTGTTTCTCGTTGTTGGTCGCATTACATTCCGACAAAGTCGGCGAGAGACCGGCTCACGTTATCGGGCCGGCTCTGTTGGCTATTTTGGGTTTTGTGTTGATGAGTGCTTCTTTGAATAGGGGTGTCTCGTATTTTGCCACCTTCTTGTGTTCTTCAGGTATAAAATCCATCATTGTTTGATGATTTTCGAAATTCCAATTTTATGACCGATTGTCTTCGATTCACAGGAGTCTGGACCATGTCTCCAATAATGTTAACTTGGGTTGCAGACATATTCCCTTTCCCACATGAAAAGCGTTTGATCGCTCAAGCCATGGTCCTTACCTTGTCAAATATTTCAGGTAAACGAATAGCCTTTAAATAGACCACATTCACCATTCGTCGTCGACTAACTTATTTCCCGTAAACTAACAAAAGGGATAATCTCATCAAACCTCTATCCATCACGAGACGCCCCTTCATATCGTAAGAACAATCCATTTCATCTATTCAACATCATTATTGCCCACTTATCTTACCATTGATTGCCTTTGACAATAATAGTAACTGGAAATATGGTTAACGCAGGATTACTTTGCTTCTTGATCATTCTGGTCTTCATTCTTAGATATGTGTTGAACCACTGGAGTTCATGACCAAAAGAATGACCGAATATTATTCCTTAATTTTTATTTCCGTGACATAATAACCACTTTTAATTTTTTTTTTTTTTTAAATACAAAATGACGTACACGTAAACATTATACGAAAAGCATCTTTGTAAACTTATCTCCGAATTCACATTCGACTTCAAAAAATTTCAAAACCCATCAATGTACAGTATATGCCTGCACCGAATTAAACAAAACTTTATTAAATATCGCAAATTTTTTTTTTTTTTTTACATTGGTTGCGCGGATTTTAATCGAATGTAAACGTTGGATCGATTCGAGTGAACTGAATGAATTGAATTGAATTGCAAATTATCCATTTTAAATTGCCAAACAAATAAGTCATTAATTTTTAAAATTCAAACACACACAAACATTATCAGTATGGATCATTTACTGTACGATCTTGGAAAATTAATGCATTGGCGTGTAAAGTATTTCCATAAATGGTATATTAATTAAGACCGTTCTCGGATAACACGTTTACATTAATTTTATTATGGATTTCGACTTAATTTTATTGGCTACAGTATAAAATTACTGTATATCATTATATTGTAGAAATATAAATTAAATATAAAGTGGAGCTTAGCTTATTTTTTTTAATCCTCTGTTAGGTTAGTTATGTGTACTTTATTAAACAATTTGTAAATTGTACATATATTATGTGTATGAGTATAAGCAATAGGAACTTGTTTACATTCTAAAAATTAACAAGTTTTGTATTAGTCAATCATCTTTGATAAGAATTTGTACTATCAAAAATCCAGAGTCAAATTGTAATAGGTAAAATTTCTCAAAAAACCATGAAAATAGAAGCTTTAAAAGGGCCAAAACAGTTTAAAAAGGAGAAAATAAGTCTTTTAACTGTAATAAATCTCTATAAATCCTTCATTTCAAAGATTAGAAAGGAATGGAAATAATATAATTATGTTATTTCTACTTAGTCTAGGTTATTTCCACTTAGTCTAGGTTATTTTCACTCAGGTATGTATCGTAATGACTGGAATGTGACAACATTGTCATATGTCGAAATGACTGAAATGCAACACCATCATTGGTGTCATAATATATTTTTATGACACATTTTTGATAACTGAAATATGACATCATCATTATGTGTCATGATGATTAAAATGCAACACCATTGTCGGTGTCATAATATGTTTTTATGACACATTTTTGATAACTGAAATGCAAAACTGACATCAACCATATGCCATATAATGTATACCAGTTTAGTAATCACAGCTGACTTCAATCATTGAGTCACATGAGCAAAAAAATATATATCTGACGATATATCCAATTATATATCATTATTTGTGGGCCCAATATAATTCTTGATTGCAGGTTTATGAATAGATATAATATATTTTAACTCATTTTCGAGATCAGGACATGTTATTGAATATGATATCAATATCATTATGATTTTTCTTTAAGCACTTCTGATTTTTTTGCCATTTTCTCTAACCTTTTTCACTAATATTAATATTGAGATCGATAATTACCAGCATGCATTATACATGTATCATATTTAGAAAAAGATAACTTACTACACTTTTTATATAGTGTACACATAGGAGAATTTCTGTAAACATAATAGTTTTCAGCTTCATATTCCTTATTGTATACTTCGTCATCAAATAAATTAATTATATCTATGTTAAATTCTTTAACAATATATACCACATAGAATATTTAATAGAAAAATTAATGCAATTGAGACATGCTATATGTATGCTATCTGATTATACTATCGATTAATGTAATCAAATATGTATGCTCAGTATATCATAATAATGCTATCAATAATGCTATCAGGTATATGCTATCGAAAAATGCTATTGACTAATGTTATCAAATATACATGCCAATTTCAAGTATTTGTATTCTGGATTTGTATGAAGCATTTGAATATTAATTGAGAATAAAACATATTGCGCCGAATTGTTAACAGTTGTTAACTTCATATAATTCATTCAATTATCACTCAAGAATGAGGCACGTAGTATCAAATTGGTAATATATCTGATAGTGTATCAAAGCATCCAAAGATAAGGCATATAGTGCTGAATTGTTAGCAGTTGTTAGCTTTGTATAATTTATTCGAAATATCAATTAAGAATGAGACATGTAGTGCTGAATTGTTAACTATGATAATATACTCAAATATCGATCATGGATGAGACATATAGTACTGAATTGTTAACTATTATAATGTACTCAAATATCGATCACAAATGAGACATATAGTACTGAATTGTTAACATATCTGATAATACACCAAAGTATTTGATAATGAGGCACGTAGTGCTGAATTATTAATAGTTGTTAACTTCATATAATTTATTCGAATATCATTTGAGTATAAAGTACATAGTACCGAATTGTTATTATATTCATTGATATTCACTAGTCAAAAAATATTTATTCGGCATAATGCTATTTGTATAACATTCATCAAAAAAATAAATAATTCAGCATATTAATGATATAAATAAATCATCAATCTATTTCTACCATATAATTCGACAAATAATTTGGCATAAATAAATTGTTAATCGATTTCTACTATATAATTCAACATATAATTTAAATTGTCAATCAATTTCTACTATATAATTAGGCATTATTTGCCATATTTTCACCATTTTTACTATATATTTTGTTAAATTTTTCCTCAAAAAATCGTTAGACATTCGTCAAAATTTCAATTTTTGTCAAAATTCACACATTTGCCAAATTTTTAATTATATATTATATTTACG